CTTGCAGACTTGCTCCTAGGAGGCAGGGCCCGGCCAGAAGAGACGGGCCACTGCGGGGTGAACCCAGAAGGTTACAGCTTCCTGTGCCTCCTGCGCACTCCTCCCTGGACTCTGCTTCCTGTCCGCGCGGCCTGAGTAGCTGCTCCTCTATGCTGGCCTAGGGCTGTGCTGCTCCACCGTGGAGCCGGCCCACGAGAGAGTGAATGTGAGCTGCAGTAAATCTCGTGGCCTCGAAACTGTGGGTGTCAGATACGGTGTCTCGGGTGAGAACGCGACTGAGACAGTACATAAACCATAAATGAGGCCACCAGGGCATCTCTGCGTTGGGGCTCTGAGCTGGCATAGCAAGGTGCATCATTCTTCTAAAAGCATTGCTGGCTGGGGAGATAGCTCAGCAGGCTAAGTGCCTGCCTGGCAAGCACCACAGGGACCTGGGTTCAATCCCTGGTACCACATGCTGTGCAGGCCTAGCGCCGAGCCAGCCACTAAAACTGGGCATGGTGGCGCACACCTGTAATCCCAGTGCTGGGGAGGCTGAGACAGGAGGATCACTATGAGTCCGATCTGTATAGTAAGACCCTGTAACAAATAAATAAATCAAAATATTGCTATTCCCTAGAGCAGGAAGCCTACAGGAGAACCAGGTACAGGCCAGGCTTTGTGATAGGATAAAGGTGACATTTCATATCTGTGTGGACAAATGGAACACTTGGTAAATAATACAGAGGCAAAGGGGCTGCTTTCTAGGAAAAAGTAAAGCGGAGGCCAAACTGTGTATCATAAGAGCCCCATTAGGTCCACATAAAGCAAACATTTAAATGTAAAAAAATGGAAGCCATAAAAACGCTCAAACAAAACAATAACTTTTCATTTCAAAGGAATATTTTCATGTGTATAAATGTAACATGTAAAACTACAAAGGGAAAACTTGATGAAAATAACTACATTAAAAAATATCAAGTTTGTAAACAAGGCATAGTGGTACACACCAGTAATACACATCCTCCAGGGGCTGGGGCAGGAGGACGGCCACAAGTTCAAGGCCAGCCTGAACTGCAGAGTGAGCCCCTGTGTCAAAAGAAACACAAAAATAAACAGAAACAAAGTCAAGTTTGTCTGCGTGGCCAAACATACCATAAGCAAACACAAAAGGCGAATGCAAAGTTAGAAGCAAAACCTATTTTAAATTGCTATCTCAGACAAGGTTCAAATATCATGAATATACAATACCCAAGGTTTGTAACATCCCAGCCCTGAAGCATCGGAGGAGACGGCCTATGTTGCTTACTCGAAGAGAGATGGAGTTGAAATCCACATCGAGATACCATTTTTAATCTCTCAAACTGGAAATTTGCTCACCTGTCGTACACCTCAAGGTGTTAGGAACAGGTATTCTCACATACCCCAGTTGTTTGCAAAATAGCGTGACTGCAGTGGAGGGCAGTTTGGCAATATCCAGCAAGACTACAAACACGCTTACTGCTCTCCTGGGGAACGCAGCCGCTGTGAATTTGCCTACGGATGCCGGCATGCAGGTGTGAGCCGCCTGCACCCAGGCTACTGCGGCAACATCGCTTGAATTCGCGAAAGACTAAACACAAGCTACATGTCTAACGGTCTGCAACTGGCTAAATAAACAGAGGGGTGGTGTGCCGCCCTTTGTGTAGCAAAGCTGAGTGCCCCAGCTGTGTGTGCTGAGAACCATCGCAGAAGATGCCAAGGAATCGGAGCGCGGTGCTTGCCTCCAGGGAGGGAGATGGGATCCCTGGGCGATAGAGGCGGGCGGCAGAAGATGCTTCTTCCACACTCACTCGTGTCTTTGACTTTTTGGACTGTGTGCAAAGGTTATCTACTAAAAGACACTTAAAGGTCTAAAACCCAAAACCTGTGTCCTTCATTCTTTCCAGGGACAGCCAGATATAGCAGGCTGGTAGCTGAGTACCCAGTCGGACGCCATCCGCTTTGTCCTCTAGCCATCTACTTCGGTTGGCCAGAGTCCAAGGGGTGGGGACAGTGGAGGAGGTCCTGCTCGGCCTCAGCTGTCCTTGAGGTGGGGCCATGTCCGTGTTCACTGGTAGCACCGCCTCACATCTGGGACCAGCTATGAGGGCTCTGTCTAGCTGCCTGCAGAAGCACACACCAGCAATACAAGGCGTCTCCAGATCCTCTGGGGAAAGGCCGAGAGGAGCTGGTGTGAAATTTTAAATAACCAAAGCATTACGGTTGCTGGCCAGGCTCAGGAATTCAGAGGTGTTAATTGATGGTGAAGGCGTTTATGACCAGGGACCTTTTCACAACTCCTGGTCACCTCATTTTACTCCTCCTCCGTGCAGGTTTAAAATAAAACCTCACAATTTGCCCTATTCCCCCCACCCCAATTAAAAATAAACCGGTGCCAGGTGTGGGGGGTGAGCATGCTGTGGCCCCCAGGGGTCTGCCAGAGACACAAGTGCACTGTGGCTTTGCGTCTGTCAGTGTCACCGCACTCCAGCTTCCGGCCTGAGCCTGCCTTTGGATCAGCAAACAGCTGTGGGCGACCGCCTTGTGCCAAGCCCCAAGTGGGCTGGGCTTGGCACTACTGCCTTGGGTCTTCCATCACAGGCCCGCAGTGGAGAACAGACTTGTTTCTGGCTTCGCAGAGGGTTTGGCTCAGCCAGCTCCCAGCTGTCACTCTGAGGAGGTGGCAGCTTGGCTCAGCTTTGGCCTGCTGCCTGGGGATATTACCAGTAGTTCCCTCATCCCTGGCACAGGCTGCAGGCTCCTGTCCCTCTGCCCTGGAGCTCGCAGGTCACTGTCCGTGTGTCCCCTCTTTATGTGTCTTGAGGTCCTGACACTAATAGGGTGGCCAGGAGGTCTGAGCAGAAGGCTGGTCCCTCCTGCATAGTCCTGACAGCCACATGGACATGCACAGTCACCAGACTTTTTAAACAAATGCTGAGTGAGAGACCCGAAACAATGCCTATGTGTCCGCTTGTGCACTGGGCTTTGTGTGTGCATGAGTGCATACACGTGTGTGCAGCAGTGTGGGTAAGCGTGTGCATACAGGTGCATCCGGTACCCATGAACACCAGGCTAACAAGAGCGCCCTCTACAGCTGCCCACATCTCCTCCAGGTTGGTCTAGAACCCTGTTCTGGAATTAGTCCATTCCTCTGACTTTTAGACAGGAAGTAAGGGGAAGGTGGAGATGCTGACAGCAAGAGTTGGGAGTTCCTACAAGGGGGCATTTGCTTGGGCTCAGAGGGGAGGGGTTCTGTTGGGCAAGGCTGAGCAGGAAGAGTAGCTTGCAGTACTTCTGGTTAAGCATTGATGTGGGAGGGCTTTTTTTTCTTTTTCTTTGCAGGATGGGGGTTGAACTCAGGACTCTGTGCTTGCCAGGCAAGCACTTACTCTACTGAGCTATCTCCTCAGCCCCTGGAAGGGCTTTCTGAAAGGAAGATGAGAGAGAATGCACTGGGCTTGAGGGAGCTGGAGGAAGCCCTTGCTAATGTAGGGTAAGTAAAAACACAGAACGCTCGCCTTGAACAATTGTTTCTTTCCTGGAGGCTAAATTAACGGGCAGGTAGCCAAAAGCCACATTAGGATGAGAAATGTAATCTGTTTATAATAAGTTTGCAAACTGCCCCTCATTGGCGCCAAGCGTGTGCAGGGCACCGCAGCCCGGGAAGACGCTGCCCCTGGCCTGCTGTCTGGGGCAAGCGCACCAGAGCTAGCAGGGCACTGTTTGTGAAGCCCAGTCCTCCTTTCACCTTTCTCAATCATTCACTTCCCTCTGGGCCAGATAAACAGGTTCCCAGAGACGACAGCTGGAGTGGCTGAGAGCCAAGGCAGGCTGCCCCTCCCTCCCGTGTTGGAGCCACCGCCTCTACCCTGACAGACTCAAAGCCAGCTCTGCACCTTGGAAGCATCCCGCAGGTCACTGGGCACCACCATGTAGGAATCCGGGCCCCTGCAAATGCCCTCCTGCGGGTGCTTGGTTCTCCTGGGAAAGGCAGTAGACTGGGCCGCTCTGGGCTGTCCCTGCTCCGTAGGGCACTGTCGTCCTTCCACTGGGATGAACTTTCTGTGTCACAGCACCTCCCGCTTTCCAGAACAATAGCGAATAGAAACAGTAGCCAGCACTTACTAAGCATTTATTGTGAACCTGGCGTTGTTTCACTGTGCCCACCCACAACCCAAGGGAGAGACTGTTATTAATCATCTTACAGATGTGGAAATGGAAGTATAGAAGGTTTTGACAACTTGCCAAACTCTCAGCATTCACTGTGGTGTCTGGTTGTCAATGAAGGTTTTTCCACCCTGGCATCTCAGCCCCTTCCTTTATACCCCATAGCTCTTCCCATCTCCTGGAGTTCCAGAGCCGAACATCCCAGAACTCACGCAGGTCCATTTCCATCCCCTCTTCTCTCCTAGAGAACAGCTTTATTCTGAAATCCTCCTTCTGACCTCTGCAGACTCTGATCACAAAGGATATGCTTTCCCTCTATTTAGAATATAACAAACAATAAGAATGGTGGCTAATGAAAAGAGAATCAGGATCAGACAGACCTGGCCGAGCATTCTGCATGTGCCTCTTACCAACCTTGGGCAAATTGCTCAACCTTTCTAAGTCCCCAGTGCCCCTCTGTTAAAATAGGAACTATAAGTTGTGTAAGAACTAAATAAGATAAAACCTAAGAGCTTCCAGGCTGTGTTTGCAGGTGGCAGACAGCTCTGCTGAACTTGTGGTGACAAAGTGGCACATCTAAGAGGACATAGGGTGGATGTCCCACCACCAAGATTTCACTCCTTCCCAACTTGCTCAAAGACCTCCCAACCACAAGCCCAGGAAGCTGTCTTCAGGCGGTAGCTCGCTCGCTAACTTGGCTCCACTTCCTGTGGGGAGGCACCTGCGGAGGAGGGAGAGGGCTGGCGGGACTGGGAGGTGCAGGGAGCGACAGGACTGAAGGAGGCATCATGGGCCCCGGAGCTGGGTGTAGGACCCAGCCACCGGGAACTCACCACACGGTCTTGGCCCGCTACTTCCTCTCTGAGCTTTAGGTCTTCCCTGTCCTCCATGGGTTACTGGGAAGCCACCTCAGTAGCACGTTTGTTAGGTTCTGGTCAAGTATCTTTAAAGACTTCCACCTATGCCTGAAGGGACAGTTGTTGCCCCTTAAAATGGCTATTAGTGGCCTTTCAGAGTTCTTTCTTCCTTTTAGGTGAGGCCTTCCAGAAAAGCATAGGAAGAACCTGTGAAAAAATGACCAGGTCATTCTGGTCTACCCCTCTTAGGTGGCCTGGAATAAACTCTGATCACTGTAATTTAGTATTTAGTGAATACTAAATTCCCCACGCAGAGGCACGCTGGGCCTCCGTTGCTTGAAGGTTCAGGGTATGAAGAAGCATGACTTTGGATTGAGCGTGCTCAGGAATGTGCCAGCCCTGCATGTCACCATGTGACATCCTTCCTGTTCGGATAGGTACACATTTTCCCAATAAGTGCCCCGTGCTTTCTTCATCCAGGAGACGCTGATTTGGCAATTATTCCCTGCGCTGTTTTTACTTACTATAATAATAAAGCTTTCTTTGCTCCTTGTCTCCTGCTTGTGTTTGTTGGCATTGTGTTCAGTTGCGTACTGACTCCAGAAGTGAAGAAGCTTCAAAGATCTAGATTGAAGCCAGGAGTGATACCGATAATTCCAGCAGTCTGAGAGGCTGAGGCAGGAGAATTGCAAATTCGTATTCATCCTGGGCAACGTAGCAAGATGTTGCCTCAAAATAAAAAAGAGGGGCTGGGGATGCAACTCAGCGCAAAGGCCCTGGGTTCGACCTCCTGATCCTTAGTTGTGCTACAGGGGCCACCTCCACGTCACTGGATACATTTGAAATTCGAAGGAGGATTTTCAGAACTGCTTCTGAGAGTGGTGAGAAGGTTGGGATAGGTGTGTTTGGAGCAAGGGTGTCTTGAGAGGGTTCTTGGCAATGTGTCTTTTCCCAACC